TTTTTGGTAGCATGATTGAGAGTTGACACTATTGCCATCCAACACAGCATTCAGGAGGGCTTAAATCTTTATATAAACTAATGTGTGAAGGCCATTGATCTGTTAAAAGTAATGCATTTTTATAGTCTTTTGCAAGATTCTCCTAGGTATTGCCAGCTATATCAAAGTTCATCATACCAGATGAAAATATATGTTGACTGCATTTTAGATTTTGCGTAAAAACAGCAGTGGCCTTTCTGTTAAAAAAATTATTTTAAAATTGTAGTTTTAGATGGTGATGGAAGTTAACAAATACTTGTAAGCTTGATGGCTTTACTCCTAAGAAACTCTGTAAGCAACATATTTTGGCTGTTTCACCTAGAATAGACACATATATTGTTCAAAGAAAAACAGTTACTTGGGTTTAGAGAGACATCTTCAATTTAATTTTTTCTTTGCTTTGAAGGCACACCAAAACAGCTGGAGGACAAAATGGTGCAGAAACTGCAGGAGGATGTGGCTATGGAAGAAGACTCTTAAAATGCTTTAATTTTCTATTTATATTTCTTCAGCAATTAACAGTTCCTTACTGCCTCACCTGACATCATTCAGAACTGTACTTACGGTCAAGAAAAATATATTTTAATGAATAGTGATCATTTACACTTTGAATTATTATTATTTTTTTATAAAAAAATAGGAAGACAGGTACTGGTTTGGGCCGTACTTACAATTCTGTAATTTGAGAAGAACCTTGTCAGCAATAAGGCATATTGTTTGAAATACTATGTGCTCCTTGGAAAGTTAAACTTTCTGGATAACTTTTCCCTGATGATCCAAGGAATAAAATATATTGGCCCTGAGCTTTTCCTATTTTGTCTGTTGTTTTTTCATAGTGGTAAAAGCAGATAAAAATGTATCTTAATGATTATAAGGTGGGGCAGGATGTATTCAATTTTCATTAGTCCAGTGCATCCGGATATTTTCACTCTTGTCATTGTGAAATTTTTTCAGTCTGTTAAGAATGCATATAGTGTTTTATTTCTTTAAGTCCACTTCTCCAGAATTACATTGCAGTTGACACCTAAGCCTGGCAAAGCTAACGTTGATGTAGGACTTACTGCTGTTTGGAAAATCATAATGGTGATAGCATCCAGTTCAAGTTGGACCTGCCATCCTCCTGACCTACTGAAATTCAAATCTGACACATAATCAGGCTGACTAAGATGCTCAATAAATCACATTTTTGACTGTTTTTACCTAAAACTCGAGATTATTTTGGTAGAAAAGAAGATCATGTTAAAGTGTAGGTGTATTGCATGTTGTAGTGGTATTTATATTCACTGTGTCATCAGTACTGAGATAAATACACTGCTTTTCTAAACTGTCAGTAGTTTATCTACAACAGTGTGATCAGAGAAGCCTTTCAAAGGCATTTAAAATAGTATTTACTTTCTTGTCAGTGCTAGTTACCCTGAAAAATACTAATTTGTAGTTCTATTCAAAACTTGAATACATGCTATAGCAAGCACTGGAAAACTTCCTTGTACCTATCACCTCCATGTGTATTGTGTAGTTCAGAAGAGAGTCGTATTTGAACATACGAAAAGGGGCAGTGGGGAGTGTGTGAAATAAACAGGCATTGTACTCAGTTTTTCATCTCTTGATTTATGAATTATGTTTAGATATTTAGAAAACTTTGTATTTTAGATAAAAATAGTAATTTCTTCATATTTTCATGAAATTAAAATTTGCTGATAAGGTGATAGTGATAAGTATTTCAGATGTACAATATTATTATTTCCCCTGTAAACTGTAATATAAATAACATCTCAAAAGCATATGGTAGGTTGGCCAGAAAACATATGCCAATGGGGTGAAATCACTAAGATGCTACAGTATAATCCTTGGACACAGTGAAGGGAGACTTTCACAGAATGTTAATTAGTATGTTTATGTGTGACTATAAAAGTTAACTCAGTATTTCAGCTCGGGAAATGTGTGTTTGCATTGCCTGTTTTACCATAGTATTTGATGTCCTTGAAGTGGGATACCTTATCTAAAAATCTTATTACAGATTATTGTTTTTTTACTGAGCTTTAAAGATGTGATGTTCAGTGAGTGCCATGTTTTAATTTTCTCCAAAAACAGTAAAGTGAATCTGTGCAAAGTGGAGAAAGGTGAGGAATCCCACTGGATGTTATGCAATATTTATATACATATGAGGGTTTTTTAGCATTAAATAATTTATATTACATAGTATCTGTAGTTTTTCTGTCAACGTTATCTTTAAATGAACTGCAATACTTGTTTGTGTGCTCGTAAGTGTCTCTCTATGGGATTGTTAACTGTGAAGGGTCTGTAAGTGAAGCAGTTGTTTTGCAGCAGCTGAGAAGAGCCATTTGGGGAGTACACTACAACCATAAATCCTAAACATCCTGCCAGTTGTATGAGTTAGTTACCCTGTGTACCTCATTGCAGCCTGTGCAATATTATAATTGCAAACAAGGGCTATTGAAAGTTAATACTGAAGTTGTCCATCACTGTGCTGGCCTTGCT